TTTTCGTTTTAAAGATTTCCACTCAACATTGAGTCGGTGTAACTGTCCTACCGATTCCTATCACCTGCCCTACACACAAAAAGTGGGAGCAAGTATTAAATGGTTTGACTAATCAGTTGGAGTTTGATGACGAAGGACAAAATAAGATATGGTTCGAATACTGCTGGGAATGCAAAATAAAAATACCGTTAAATTCATTATCATACACAGGCTTGCCCAACTGAATATGCTAACTTTGATGACTACAGTGCTTATATTAGATCGGTTGGTTGTTGCGAAAATCTACCTATTGGAAATTTTCGGTCTCTATGTATGTGTATGTATATGTATGTGTGTGTTTGTGTGGACGTGAGGGATAGAGAGAGCGAGGGAGAAGGAACAAGAGTAAAAAGGAAAGATAAACAAAATGAAGATTTCAGAGGCAATTTCCAACAACCACAAAAGGATATATCATCCGTCCCGGGTCAAAATAACTTTATAATCCTTCTACTCGTGGAAGGATAGCACTGCAAGATGAAGACTTGCGAGGTTCCCAAGTCCAAGATCCAACACTGGACACGATCGTGGATGCTATCGCAGAGGACATTGGACAAGGTGCGTCTATATGCGAAAAAAAGTTGGGCTGTAAAGACTCTTTTTGGTTGTAATTGTTGAAATATCTTCTATTTCGGCCTAAAGTGTTCGGTGAAGAGATTCGAAGATCGGTCCCGCCAGAAGACGGTGGCTTATTCCTCTTGGTCAGCTGTCGATTGGCTTTGACGGAACATTCTTGTTGCAGATGTTTCCGAGGCAATCTATTTTGAATCTGACTAAAATGTGCTAAGCTTTCTTCCGTCATATGACGCATGTCATCAGAGCAGACCTACATTCTTGCAACCGTATTCAAACTGTCTAGTCGAGACAACTGATTGCCTTATCCATAAATGCTGCTTTGATGCTCTCTCACACTTTACATGAACTAGGCTGAATACATATCATGAACATGATTTAGCATTAACCACAAAAATATATACCATAAATCTATGCTTTCTGGTGACTTCAAAAAAGGGTTTTGCAATCTTCCAAGTCCATGGCCCGACGTCGAGACTTATCGTCATTATTAAAGGAGAGGACTCTGGACAGGGTGCGTCCAACTAGATTCACATGACACTTGGATTATGTTGCGAAAACGAGGTCGAATTATTTATCTACAAAGAGACGAGAGCGCAACCATATTTAAGACCACATTAGCTTATATTATCGCTAGGCTCACTTTCATTTTGAGTAAACGTGTTGTATGAAGTGAATCGAGGATGGATACCACCAAATGACCCGATGTTGATTGGCTTTATTGGAGCATTCTCGTTGACGCAGCTTGCAAAACAATCTCTTTCGATTTCGGTAAGGATGTGCCAAGCCTTCGACGTTCATTTTTCGATTATACTCACTTTGAGCTATCACTTTTGCTTTTCTGCATGTACAGTCTCACGAAAGCACATAAACACACAAAGATAGACACACTCACATACTTCGAGGTTGACATCAAACTTGAACAAACCAAATCCCCTTTGCTATCGTTACAATATACATACTGAATTTAGGGATGCGCCGGTGACTTTTCTTGACTAGTTTTGCTTAAATATGGTTTTATGGGTGAGGATGAGTTGACTCTGATCATATGACGGATGGAAGCTTAGTATGTGTTCATCGGACTTAACAACAAGGTTGCAGTAGGCTCAATCGACAGCTGCTCAAATGGAAATACTCCAATGTCTTCTGGTAGGATTGACTTTCGAATCGCTTCACCAAACACTTTGGCTCAAAATGAAAATAAGCACAACACTTACGAACCAAGATATAGCTCGAAACGCAACATTTTAAATCCATCACTGAACGTGTTTTGTGATGTCAACTGAAATTTTTAGTAAACCAAACGGTGGGCTAACGAATTTTTCCACCATTAAATGAGTACACTTCATAAGGAAAACTATTGTTTTAAAGTATTGGTAGGTTGATTTTGCCGACATTTATTTGTTAGATCCACAAAATCGTAGGCTGAGAACGTTGAGGTAGGCTTATAGGAGACAAAGCTAAGTGCAAATTGTGCCAAATTGCTCTCATTTGGCCAACCAGACTGACCCAAGTTGTCATTGAAGAACAACTGATATTCTTGAAATATACTCTCGTTTTTTAAGTAGTCTGCTGAAAAGCTGGCGCGTTTTCTGGCCTCTGGTTGCGTTGTAGTCGCATTTTGCGCATGCATGACATGAAAGCAATAAAAGGGTCTTTTACTTTTGCCTTGTTTTCGTCGTCAACGCTCTGATTGCTCTCAAAGTGTACCAGCTTTGATTGGCTGTCTTACCGGACTGACTGCTTCAGGTTTGCACAGAATCCCAAATTGAAATGCATCCTGAAAGCCCAATCTACAGTCTCGGCCTCGCATCATTGTCTAATCGTCGAATCTCTGCCCATTTCGAGACTCGAACTGTAGATCTGCCGAGTCCGGTGGGAAATAAATTACCCTCTTGAAAAGACGACCCTAATCCTGTTGGCTGCCAGAAAATGAAAATATTTTAACTTGCCTCTTTGGTGGGAACTTTTGTAGGCTGCAAAAGCACCGGCCATAATTATGCCTAATTGCGACAAACCTACGTCTAGTTGGGCTGATGAGTTTACTAGGCCTGTGTGCCGAGTGTGAATATGTGAATATGAATCATCTACGGAACCTACCGTTGAGTCGCCTTCTTTCGGTGGCTGGATCAACGACATGGCACTAATCGTCTTCTTCTGGTTAGATCGACTTACTTGTCTCCTCATCACACACGCACACATAAACACACGCATATATAAAATATATATGCATACATACATACATACATACATACATACATACATAAATACAAACATACATACATACACATGCATAGACGCACATAAAAATATATATGCATACATACATACTTACACAAATACACACGCATATATAAAAATATATATGCCTAAATACTTACATACACACACATACACATGCATATATAAAAATATATATCCATACATACATACATACATACACACACACACACTTTGAAACTAAATGAAATGTTAAAACAATTTCCCTGAAAACGAAGTTTGTCGTGCAACTAAACTGGCCTTGCGTAGTCCGTTCCCTCTCAATTTGCATGTCTATTGTTCGAATCCCGTTGAAAATGCAGATGAGACGAAAACGTGAGGTCGAAGCTGCAACCAAGATGGAGTTGAGAATAGTCCTTTTCAGCTGCTTCGTGAAGGTAATTTAATGGTGAAAAGCTGATTTCTTCATTTTAGCGTGTTCAAAGTTGCTATCTTTTCCTGGAACAGTCCATTTCGCTGTTCCGCGTCTCGTCAGGACCACCAGCCATTTGGTTGGGCGACCGCCAAGAAGCTTATCATTCAACTTCCGGTTTGGGCTGTTTCATTAGTCACGTGACAATGTGCCGAGGGATATGCATCTCTGTTCAGACATTATGAGGTTGACAATGCATTTCTTCTGAATGGGGACCAGTGCATTTGGTATCGCTCACTCGCTTTTGTCAATCCTGCTTTCATCTGATCTGATCGGGTCTGTTGAAATGTCATTTTTAGACTACCCACATGCTGATTGTTGCTATTTGACGTAAAACACCGCCACGTCACCCTCTCTAATGATGCACAACAACACTGACAGAAGTGTGAAAAATACATTCATGTGTTAATAATGTGACGAGTATGGGCAAGTTGTTGATGGAAAATGCATTTTTCCTTTCAATGCAGACTTTGTCGATCAGGCACTTCCACTTGGCCAGTCAGCGTTCCGAACGCAAATGGACCGATTGCAGAACGCAAAGACCGGCCAACTCGCCAGTGCGTCGGTGCAGCAGATGACGGCTGAAATGGAGGCCTTCAATTTCGTCTGCTATGGACTTCCCAATTTAATGCTTACATAAAATAATGCCTTTCGAGTTGGAAAACATGTTTTATTCTTCATTTATCCACATGATATGGTAAGGTTTAGGCGGCATGACAACGCCGAGTTGAGCTCAAGGTGTGAAGGGGTATGGCGAAAAGGCACAAGAGGGTCGCTAACAGCCTTCATAGTTGACTGGTTTGTCCAGAACTTAGCAGAAGCGTAATGAGATGTATTCACCCTATTTCGTCTAAAATGATGAAGGACTGGTAGGAGAATTTTCCCACAATCATATGATTTGAGCTGAGGTTTCCCTTATATTTCACATAGCTTTGCTTTCCCAAAAGTTGTGGAAAAATTCTTCTACCAGTCGTTCATCAGCTTAGACGAAATAGGGTGAATAGATCTCATTACATTGATTTACTGGTAGTCTCGAAACCCTACTCTGATACGAATATTAGCAGAAGCGGTAGCAGTTGCGGCTAGTTGGTTATGGTACAGCTTGCTTTTTTCCAAAATCTATGCGGGGTCATCTGTGACGCCAGCAATTGTGAGGTTGTTCAGGACATCAATGAATAGCAAAAGTAGTTTGCAAAACAAAATCAAGTTTTGTGTATTGCAAGTGGGTATACCAATTACTGTTGGTTCTTAATCACAACATGTAGAGGCCGATTTCCGGTCCACGAGGTGGGATAACGGGCAGTGAAATGGCCAATGTTAGGCAATGCGACAGCTGAACTGTCGGTAGAACTCGTGAAAAGTAAATCTGGATAAAGAGAATTAGTTCTGCATCCGAATAGCACGAGGCGAGAAGAGGGAATTTAAGAAGTTGTCAGATGCTCGTTCTGTATGAGTTGGACTGTTTTTACAAGCTCCCTGGTTCATTGCAGCAGACGGAATTCCTTCTTTGAAACTAGCCTGCTTCAATTTACACTTATTCTGCTTTCATGTAACTACAGGATTGAAGGAGACCCATTCGTCTAGAAAAGTTTGAAAGAAACATTCCAGACAATAGTTCAGACGCGAGTTAGGCATCAATCATTTACTTGGTTGCACTTGAGGCGTGATACGATGAGAGAATTCTGTTATGCAGTTTGCTTGAAGGAAATAACAAGACAACTTCTTTTAGGAGTATTAAGGACTACTTGGCCTTTAGATAACGTGTCGAAACCAAAAGTCATCAAATAATATATTTAAGAGAAACCTCGTTGTTAGTAGTATAAAAGTAGCAAATCTTTCAACCAAGTTGCACCTAATTTGGGTTGAGGAACAGAAAATCAGTACTTTCTACTATCTAGTGTCACCTTGGCTGTTGTAGCAATTGAATGAGTGGGATTTGTAACTTTTTCACAGATACATCGAAGAGGAAAAAAGTAATTTTATTTGCTAACTTTCAGAAAAAGAATAGAATGTTGTACTCTTTTTTTGAACCTATTCAACAATCTCGGAGAAATTCGGCTTAACAACTAAGTCACAAGGAGTGAACATTTTCTAGTGATAGTCTTACTTTACAAAGAGTCTTATCATTGGTGGTATCTAGAATTTATTCATATTTTGACAAGTGTGTCAATTAAGCCTCCGACAATTCTAAACCAAAGGGCTGGGATGCCTTGCATAGAAGAAAAGTAAACCTAAAAGGCATCCAATCCCAATGGAAAGATTTCAAAATAATTAGTACAGACGCTTTGATACATATCAAAATGGGATTTTTGATGAGAACAGATTTCATTATTTGCACTTCAAGATCGTAGCTACTAGAATGTCAAAATAAATAGTGCTAGCTTTTCAGAATCACTAATAAATTCCAAAAATGAGTCAAATCTGTAGTAATAAGGCGAGACCAACTTTTAGGCTTAAGCATGAGTGAGAAAGTAAAAAAATCTGACAGAAGTTCAAAAAGTTTTTTACATTAACTATCTTATACCTCAAGCTCTGCTTTTGCAACTATTTGGAACTACCACATTGGACGCACATTGTAAAATATCGGGGATTACTGGGAAATATGTGCTATTCAAAGCAAAATATATAAGATTTTGGAGGTCGATTAGAAATTCAGATCACGATACACACATCATCGTTCTGGCTTTAATGTACAAGTAATACAAAATACCAGAATGAATAAGGCCAATGGGAAATATTCAGAATGATAAAGACAAAAACAAATTGCTCTTTTAAACTATCGCTCTTCTTGAAGGGCGAGAATCTCGCTCTAATTTCTGGCAATGCCTATTCGATGACGATGGTCGGTTACCATTTTTCACCAGTATTTTGCATTT